CATCCATCCATCCATCCATCCATCCATCCATCCATCCATCCATCCTTGTATTTTTTTCAGGCCTCATTTAAACTTTGTGTTTCTACATCACAGCTCCACCTGTCCTGATCTGTTCTAGTCTGTGATTTGTGGTGCGAAAAGAAAGAAGATGGAAACTAAGCAAAGCCACCAGATGGCGCTATAAGACGTGTGTTAAGTTATTGTGCTCTGATTCTGATTCTCTGTGAAACGAGCAAAAATAATTAGTTGCAAATAGCCAAAAATATGTTTTTAGTTTTTTTTAAAGTGGAGTGCTGTGGAAACACTATGAACAAAGAGCATATTACCTGTTGTAGATATATCTTTGATTTACCTCATTTTAGACAAATGAAGTTTAATTGTTAATTTTACTAATTTTAAGTGAAACTTCACATCAAAGTCTGTTTTGCCTTTTTACATTAAATTTTTTTGGTCACTTGCAAACAAATAAGCCGCAACAGCAGCTAGGTGTAGCACTTGTGGTGCAGCTTGGGGCTCTTCCAGCAGGATTATCATATCTCAGCTGGATTAAAATGCAGGGCTGACAGGGTGTAAAGGTTTATGAAACATGAGAGAGTTATGATAGTGGAGCTGTTTTAAGGAAATCCACTAAAATTTAAGTCTTGTTTAGACACAGTCAGCTTGTTTTTTAGACCAGAATTAAACCAAACTGAGTTCATTTAACGAGTTATCTACAACGAGTAAGATATGAAGCATTTACAACCTTTTTCATATGTGGAGGCATAGAGGGGTGGCACAGAGAGGAAGCTGCCACTAGAAAATCTTACCTCCCTTTGTTGCCACCTCTTCACATTTTTGCATATTTTACATAAAGTTGAACGTCAAGAACGTCACATAACTGTAATCTGTATCCAAACCCACTGATGTAGAGTTTGCCCACATCCCATTTGAATCACAAAATGTTTTTACCGCCAATAAGCCTGGAAGTGTTTCTCAAGAGGCAACGATCTGTTGAGTGAGGCCTCATCGAAACTGGAAACAAACACAAGTTGCTGACAAACACGTGGAGCACAGAGATAAGTGATGTGTCATGTAATTTGTAAAAATTAATGAGTGCGTTAGTGTACTTATGAGTGCATAAGTTTAAGTCCAAAGTTAAACCTTTTGATGCAACAATAAATTTTGCCTCCTGCTTGAGCCTCATGTTACACCTTTATCATCATAACCCAGAATCAATGGATCAATCATCCATCCATCCATCCATCCATCCATCAATCCATCCGTGTTTGTTAGTTGGGAGTGTGTGCCAGCCTCCACCAGTCACTGTCCATATAGACTCGCTCCAAAAGATTTGAACTATCCCTTTAATCAGAAATTGTTCTGACTTTGGTATAGTAGAGCATATTGGCCACTCTGCGTAGTTTCAGAAGGTTTTGCCTGATTTGGTCCCAGGAGACACTAATATAAGAAGATCTCTTCAGTAACTCTTCACACATTTATTAAATGTTTCCTGAAGTTTTTGGTTATGACACCAAATATATAAGATCTGCTGCAACATGGCAGATATACAACTTTAAATCTACGTCCTTTAAGTGCATTTCTCCCCATTTTTATGACATAATCACATGATTGTAGGTTGGTTCACTCCTGTCCAACATTCCTTTTGTTAACTAAGATCCTTGTTGTTAAACAAAGTTTTTTACAACTTGTTTATAACCCAAACTGTTTATGAAAGGTTTATATATATATATATATATATATATCCATAGACATCCATCCATCCATTATCTTTACCCGCTTAATCCATTTTGGGTCACGGGGGTCGCTGGTGCCCATGTCCAGCAATCACTGTGCGAGGGGCGGGGTACACCCTGGACAGGTCGCAAGTCCATCACAGGGACACATAGAGACAAACAACCATTCACTCTCTCACTCACACCTAGGGACAATTTAAAGTTACCAATCAGCTTGAACCAGGGACCTGCTCGCTGAGAGGCAGCAGCTCTACCAGTTGCGCCACCGTGCTGCCCGCAGAGGGAATCATCTTCAGTAAATATTATTTTTTTAAATACTAGAGTCCTTCATAGGAAGTACAACAAAAGAGCCATAAAAGATTCAAAATCATCAAAAAGGTATACTGAGATATTTATAATTATCTCTATTTTCTTAGTGCCATGACATTCAGGGACAATAATGAGACCTTCATTTCCTTCTTAACATGCATTTATTAATTTATTTTCCATATCCCCCCCCCCCCCCCACACACACACACACACATACACACACACACACTAGACTGCAGCACACCAAAATACTGAACGTGTCAGCACAAAAGCGTAATGCATTTTTAAACTTAAAAAGTGTGAGTGAAGCAGATGGTTGTCTCACCGTCTCTCTGCACAGCAGCAGAAGACACAGGAAGACAGACAGACTCTGCGGACAGCTCGGTACTGCTCGGACTTGTTGTCACCTGCTTCAGGCTGTTTATGACAGCTTCGACTGATCGCCTTAAGTGAGGAGACCTGAGGCTGATAAAACTCACCGTCTCAGCTGATTTATATAGTGAGCTTTGCACTACTAAAAGTGAGAGACCCAGTTCCTACAGCATTTTGTCTTCTTTTGTTTGTTTGGCTGTTAAATAAACCTCTCTGTTCTGTGAGAACAGCTCATCCTGTTTAGATCATTTGCAGCTTAAAAATCTTATTAGAGAACCAGCTGTCTTAAAACAATAGTTATAACTTAATATTATGTTTTATGCCACAAACAGATGCATCATCTCTCGATGAAGCTTCGTAGACACATTGCCAAACACAAAACTTATGTTTATTTGTGTTGTGACAGTCAGCATCTTATCTTCTGAAAGCTTAGCTGTCCAAATATATGTGAGCTCACCCCGAGAGCAGTTAGTGCAGGTTGAAGGGAGCAGCTGGGGGGTCTGGATTACATATTTGCTCAGGACCACTTCAGCCTAAACTGTTCATGGAAAATGCAGCACTCATTATTTTTTTCTGGTTTTCAGCTTTTCTCCTGTGAAACCTATTTTCCCCTGAGTCCTGAGATCTGGGAACATCTCAGTACCGTCAACTCCATCAATACAAGTTTGATATTCCCCCAAAATGGTGGAATTTGTCTCAGATATGTGAATTTTTTCCACCTTTTTTATTATTTATTGTTAAAAAAAAATCATATCATATACCTCTAAAATACACTGATAAACATTTTACAACAGATTGAAATAAACCAACGACTCTCCTGTCCAGAAAAAGGACATTTGGGGAAAATCTAATGAAATGTTGCATCTTCATATATGAAGACATGAACTAATTAATTGATTTATTCCCTCAATGAGCAACTTGAATAGCTAGAAAAAAAAAAAGCAGGGTGAATGCTGAGCATTGAATGATTTTGCTTAAGTTTGCTGAAAAAGCTGAAACTGAGTGGTTAAAATGAAAACAAAAGCAGAACGCTAGCTACAAGCTAAACTGAGCAAAACAGGTTACTGAAAGCAAAAAGAAGCAAAAGTCTGCTAAAACCTAAAATTAACTAAACAATATCTAGCTAAATGCTTGCTGAAAGCCAAAAGTAGCAAATTGGTGGATAAAAGCTAAAAATAGCAAAAGGCTATACTTAAAGCTAAAAGTAGCAGAATAGTTGCTAACAGTAGCATAAGAAGACAGAAACAGGATTCAAAGAGAGCAAATATTTTTAAAGAGCTTGAAGAAATCTCAAAGCATTTATGGGAAAATTAAATGCTTATTTATTTATTTTTCTTCTTTCAGCTGCTCCTTCTTCAGGGGTCACCACAGCGAACTAACTCGTACGAAAACTTGGCAATTGTTTTTTGCCGCATTCATTTCCTGACGCAACCACAGACCACCGAGCTACCACAGCCCTCTGTGTGGAGCAGAGAGCTGCTATCTAGGACACCCGGGGGAGCAGATGGTGGGGGGGTTAAGGGCCTTGTTCAAGGGCCCAGAGTGGAGACAAGTGAGGGAGACAGGTGTGGGTGTTTCATCTTTCTGACCCACATTTTGATGTTGTTGGTGCGGGGAGTTGAACTGGTGACCTACTGATCACAGGCCCACCTCTTCTAACCTCTGCACCACCACTCCCACCCTTTATGGAGAAATGTAATTACTTGAAAAAAAAAAATGAAATAGTGAATTAAACAAAAATTGTAACATCTATAAAACCAGAAGTTATAACATGTATCTCCTAATTTCAGTTCATTTTTTAAATTATTATCACAAAGTCATCTCAGGGCACTGCAAACATTCACAAACATTATAAAATGCCAATTATCAAAAACATAGCTCTAAGGAAGCCAGCAGATTGGATTTAATCTTGAGTTTGTTGCAATTTCCCATCCTGAGCAGCACGTTGGTGACACTGAAAAGAAATGACAACAGGAGGAAACCTCCAGCAGAACCAGGCTCAGGATGAGCTGAGGTCTGAGAGAACAGGAAAGACGACTGGTCCAGGTGTGGTAATATGGGAAGAAAAATAAAAACACGTAATGATAGAAATAATTACAAGTATTCAAGGATTCAAGGTTCTTTATTTGTCATACGCACTACATGGTACATGTGGTGGAACGAACAACAAAAGTATAAAATATAAAAAAAAAACAGTAATAAGATCTAAGATATGCACTAAGAAAAACGTAAATAGAAATACGCTAAGCACTAGTACAAAAACAATACACCAAACAGCAGCACAATAATGCTCCTCAACCTCCTGTCTGAGGGGAATAGGTCAAAAAGTGTGTGCTGGGTGAGTGGGGTCCTTCATGATGCAAGTGGCCCTCTTCCTGCATCTGGAGGTGTAGATGTGTGTGATGGTGGGGAGGCTGACTCCAACAGATTTCTGTGCAGCCTTCACCACTCTCTGCAGATCTACGTATTTTTACTTTACACTTTATACTTTCCCACGATGAGTAGAGCGATTAGACAACACATACGAATGGCGAAAACAGCCCAACATAATGCAAAAGTACTTGATCACTGCAAAAAGAGTTGCCTGGCAACCATATGTTAAGAAGTAAGATTTTAATCCTACATCCTTTTAATCTCAGACCAGTCTGAATTATTGCCTACAGATGATATTCAGTGGGCTGTGGCAACATAATAATAGGTTTTAGCTTCATTGTAAAGTCTCTGCTCGGACTTGGTGTCAGAACAGTGTCTCTTTGTCTTTTAAAATGTTCAATGTATTGTATGTTTACTGAATGTGGGGAAAACACAGTGATGCTCAGGAGTTCAGTTATTAGAATCACCCGGAGGAGAAAAAGAGCTTTCTCCATCCTCTCCTCTGCAATTAGAGCTTACTCTGGCTGTTGAAGCCCACCCCCCTTTTCATCCCCCTCCTCACGC